GGGGGGGGGGCTGCCCCTAAACGTAGGGAGCCGGCCTACTTGCTTTCCAGAGGCCGAACGTTCTATAACGCAGCCTTTGTGCTGGGAACCATCCCTTAGCCAGGATGGAGGGGTGTCGACCACATAGAGGTTTTTGCACACAGGCCATGCAGCACCTCCAGGTATGCAATGGGAAAAGGGGAAGCATTTTTAACATCTGAACAGTGCTTTACAATGTGCTGGGGTTCACAAAGTCAGGGGGACATTTTTGAAAAAGTGCAGAAAGGGGAACTAACCCTTTAATAAGTTGGTTATTCTATGTCCTTTTTTGTAAGCTGTATACAGGTGAAACTCGAATAATTAGAATATAATGCAAAAGTAATTGCAGTAAGTGCTGCAAAAGGGGCCCAAACCAAGTACTGAGTACATATGCATGCTTGTACTTTTCAGAGGTCCGATATTGTTCTATGTACAATCCTTGTTTTATTGATTGCATGTAATAATCTACTTTTTTGAGGTTGTGGATTTGGGGTTCTTGGGGTTTTCATGAGCTGTAAGCCATAATCATCACAATTATGACAAATCACGGCTTGAATTATCTTGCTTTGCATGTAATGAGTCTATCTCATATATTAGTTTCACCTTTTAAGTTGCATTAGTGAAATAAATGAACTTTGCACGATATTCTAATCGAGTTTCACCTGTAAATGATAATAGCATGTAAGACACTGGTAGGGATATTAGAATGTGAGCTTTTCTATCGCGATACATAATGTGAATATTTCTAATTTTATATTTACAGGCTATTTTAAGAGGCGCCTGTGGTGAACTTGTATATACAATCCTAATATCAATGTGTTCTGAGAGAAATCCATATTTTTTTCCCCTTCCTTGCTAGTACTGTTGGCGATGGACTGGATTTAACTTTGGTTTTGACCTCTTGGTCACTTACACAAACCGCTATATCATATTTAAAAGGAACACTCTGAATCAGCCATGCAGTGGCTCCGTCAGTCTACAGCCACAAAGGAACATTGCATACAGGTAGGTTCGATTGGATTCTGTTTTATTGACGTGTCAGCTGGCTTCTTCGCTTTCTATACAAATATAAAATATTCATTATATTACTATGTGCACATTTTAACTTGCAGTTCTTATAGTGGTTCATAGTGTGCAACGTCTACACTTGACCCAGTTTTAAACAGAACTTTTTACTGTTTAACTAAAGGCAAGCAGTTGAAGATACAACTTCGGGCTGCACAACCTTATTCTTACCAAAAACATTTTGGGGTGTATTGATCAACAATTCACAGGGCCTTGCAAAACTCCACGAATGTTCATTCTGTGCCAATGGAGCAGAAAACAAACATTCTTGGTACATTTTTGATTCCCGTTTGAATGTACTACATGTAAAATGCCACATTATGGGCACTAGATGGCGATGAGAAGCATAGGATCAAATGTTTTTATTTCCTATAATTCTCAGCTCCATCTAGTGGTCCTAACACAATATTACACACTGACATTCCAAATTTACTTTGGATTTCTAAAGAAAATATAAGAACGTTTGTTTTTTACATCTGTTCACACAGAAGAAACATTCACAGAGATTTGCAGGCCACATGGCCCTGCAAATTGTTTATAAATGGACCCCTTACAGTTTAATGAGAAAAAATAATAAATCTTAGCCCCACTCCCAGGTCTTCTGTATGGTGACCCTACCCAGGTCTTCTGTATGGTGACCCTAAGGAAGAAAGGCAGCCTGCACACATCTACCATTTTCCTGGTAATTAAATACGCAGATGAAATGCATATATGCAAGCTGGTTTACCTTCCCAAGGATTGTTCATTTTTATCCATCCATCATATATTTACAAAGCTCTGCCCTGTGGAACATCCCTGCCTGGCAGGAAAGAAAAACATTTTTCTCTATTGTAGTTAACACTAACACGTCTTCTTTCCTCCAGCCTGTGACTGGACAGGGACAGGAGAAGCAACAGACTGATGAGCTCACCTCTCTGTCACCTTGCTTTTTCGTCCTTCAGAATGTGCCTTTTTGGCCCATAAGCACTGCAGCACAACAACTAGCTACTTGTGCTGCTTCTACCTTTCCCACTCTGAAATCTGCTGTACAGGGAATGCAGTAGACTGATACCAGGCCAGATTTAACCACGTAAATCATAACAAACAAAAAAAACAACTTTTAATTTACTGGAAATTGAATGACCTGAGACAGATCAACATGTGATGTGTGCAGTACATGCTGGCCAACTTCTTTCAGCTATGCATACATCCCATATGACTGCTTTTATTTGCACTTAACCTGTAGTAGATGCTAGGTCCACTTTAAAGAACCCTATATTACATACATGGTTTAAACACATAGTGCTGCACTATGTTCATAATGGCTTGTAATAGATATAATAGCTTCAGAAAAATGATCAGAATGAAGTGCATTTGCTGATGTGAGGATGTGATATTTTCTATCACACATCTAACCTGTCCATTAATCCCATTAAAGCATTCCACTCTAATGTGCCCGTACAGTAGCAGCTAACATTGAGCAATCGGCAGAAACTGTAAACTTGAGTGCCCCCGCGTAGGCAGAGGTTTAAAAACTTTTTTAGATCCGAGGTAGGTAAACTCTAGCCCTCCAACTGTGATGAAGCTACAAATCCCATCATACATCTGCCTCTTGGAGTCATGTCTGTGGCTGTCAGTCTTGCAATGCCTCATGGGACTTGTAGTTGCTCCACAGCTGGAGGGCTGGAGTTTGGCAACCACTGTTTTAGATTTAGATGATTTTGAATGATATTTTAGTTTTCAGTATACAGTTGTGTGAAAAAGTGTTGGCCCCCTTCCTGATTTTTCATTGTTTTGCCCGTTTGTCACACTTTAAATTTGTTTGATGATCTGAAACATTAAATATTAGTCAAAGATAACACAAGTAAACACAACATGCAGTTTTTAAAGGAAGGTTTTGTATTAAGGGAAAACAAAATCTAAACCCACATGGCCCTGTGTGAAAAAGTGTTTGCCCCCTAAACCTAATAACTGGTTGGGCCATCCTTAGTAGCAAGGACTGCAATCAAGCGTTTGTGATAACTTGCAATGAGTCTGTTACAGGACTGTGCAGGAATGTTGGTCCACTCATCTTTGCAGAATTGTTGTAATTCAGCCACATTGGAAGGTTTTCGAGCATGAACCGCCTTTTTTAGGGTCATGCCACAACATCTCAATAGGATTCAGGTCAGGACTTTGACTAGGCCACTCAAGTCTTCATTTTGTTTTTCTTCAGGCATTCAGAGGTGGACTTGCTGGTGTGTTTTGGATCATTGTCCTGCTGCAGAACCCAAGTTCACTTCAGCTTGAGGTCACGAACAGATGGCACATTATCCTTCAGGATTTTTTGGTAGACAGCAGAATTCATGGTTCCATTTATCACAGCAAGTCTTCCAGGTCCTGAAGCAGCAAAACAGCCCTAGACCATCACACTACTACCTCCATATTTTACTGTTGGTATGATGTTCTTTTTCTGAGATGCGGTGTTACTCTTACACCAGATGTAATGGGACACACACCTTCCAAAAAGTTCAACTTTTGTCTCATCAGTCCACCGAGTATTTTCCCAAAAGTCTTGGGAATCATCAAGATGTTTTCTGGCATAATGGAGACAAGCTTTTATGTTCTTTTTGCTCAGCAGCGGTTTTCATCTCTCTGCCATGCAGGCCATTTTTGCCCAGTCTCTTTTTTATGGTGGAGTCATGAACACTGACCTGAACTGAGGCAAGTGAGGCCTGCAGTTCTTTGGATGTTGTTGTGGGGTCTTTTGTGACCTCTTGGATGAGTCGTCGCTGCGCTCTTGGGGTAATTTTGGTTGGCCGCCCACTCCTGGGAAGGTTCACCATGTTTTCGCCATTTGTGGATAATGGCTCTCACTGTGGTTCGCTGGAGTCCCAAAGCTTTAGAAATGGCTTTATAACCTTTCCCAGACTAATGGATCTCAATTACTTTCTTTCTCATTTGTTCCTGGATTTCTTTGGATCTCGGCATGATGTGTAGCTTTTGAGGATCTTTTGGTCTACTTCACTTAGTCAATTCTTATTTAAGTGATTGCAAACAGGTGTGGCAGTAATCAGGCCTGGGTGTGGCTAGAGAAATGGAACTCGGGTGTGATAAACCAGAGTTAAGTTATGTTTTAACGGGGGGCAAACACTTTTTCACACAAGGCCATGTGGGTTTGAATTTTGTTTTCCCTTAATAATTAAAACCTTCCTTTTTAAAAACTGTATGTTGTGCTTACTTGTGTTATCTTTGACTAATATTTAAATCTGTTTGATGATCTGAAACAAAGTGTGACAAACGTGCAAAACAATGAAAAATCAGGATGGGGGCCAACACTTTTTCACACAACTGTATATGTTTGGTTTGTGGTTTTCCATGGAAATGGAGCTAAAACCTCACCCACATTTAAAAAAATTAATTTGGGTGGCTTTTTTAAAATCTTGTTTGGGCTTTTTGTAGTATGTCATGTGAATATGTGTGTGTGTATACATGTAGATAGATATACATAGATGATACATACTGGATTGTAGGTTGTATTGTGTTTGTTCTGAGCTGTACTTGGGCATGGAGAAATGTCCACAGTCACTTGTGGCTTGGAACATGTTCTGAGAAATGAAAAGTATCCCTGTTCTTTTTAGGTTTCAGGGATCTTCTGTGTTCTTTCCTCACTACTCAAATTTAATGTAAATGTGCTTTCCTGTATTAAGAGAATGTGGAGGCAGTCATTGCTTTCCTCCACTTATGAAAATACTAATTGCCTAGCTGTCCTCTTTATCCACTGGCTTCAATATTTTAAGGGCTCTGACCTGGAAAAATTTGGCAGATCAGGTGATGCTCCTTTATCCGAACATAAATCAGTATTCTCATTCCGGACCAGTGACTTATAATCGCTGAACCCCTACAAACAAAAGAAAAGATGGCCGCACCCTGAATTCCGCTGGGATGGTTTATTGTACCTTGTACCACATCAATGCTGTTATGTACATAGAACAATAAGTAAATACGTTAATTTATAACTTAAAGATGCAAGACTATCACTACGACTGTTTTCATGATACAAAGTAATCCCCTATTAACGTGTGATAATAGTATAAATCTTTATGTAGATCATACATCATAACAATACATTAGTATGGCTGATGTATACTAATATATACCGGAAGCTGATAGGTGATTACTTTGCATCATGAAATCAGTCATAGTGATAGTCTTGCATATATAATTTATAAACTAATGTATTTACTTATTTTTCTATGTACAATAAAGCATTAAGTTTGCAGGACATCATATGACATTGTATGCTATATCCCTCTTTGTTTTGGTGAGATATAAGGCCAGTCCCCTTTTAATGGTTTTACCATGTAATGACATGCACATAAACTTGATGGTAAAAAGCACAGCCTACCCTGGTCCGCCCTCATCTCTACGACTAATCCTGTGATTGGGTGGAATGTGTCCGAGGGGTGGATCTTGGGCAGAACACTAGTGATGTGAAGATTGTAAGACAGCGGGAATCCAGTGTGCGGCCAGTTTTTCTTCTTTGTATGAGCTCATATTGGAGCATGTGGACGAGCACCCACACACAGCTCTTTCCTTCCTGAGCCGTGGAGGAGCAGTGCTGCTTTTGTGTCTTCTCCTTTTAATCACTGAAGCTAGAGAAAGATAGTAGGAGGTCAGCAATAGCAGCCCATAATGTATGTTTGTACAAGTTTCCTTCATTGTTTAAAAATCCCACTCCGTTTCTAATATTGTCTGTTGTATGCACAGGTTGCGCTTGTTGTCATTCGATAACAACGGTAAACTCATCTGCAATAGAACAAGTGGATATCAGATCCTCAGCCTTGAGAAAGATCAGGTATGTGTTATCTTTTTGTAGGGTAACTTACATTTATGTGGAGCTCTTGAGCAGTTATCTAGAAATCAATTAGAGGAGATGAAACATTTGTTTCTTAGAGTAAATAATAAAATGTTCTGCTTGGACTCTCTTGGTATTCATAATGGGGCTGTCAGAATTTTTACTCTGATAAAAATAAACAGGTCTCTGCTTATGAAAATAGGCCAGGATCTGGAATTAAGGAGATTCCCAACTTATTTTCACAAATCAACACAAATAATAACTCGAGTTCATTTTATTTGCGCTAACCTGAAGACAAAAATTAATGCAATAGCTGTGCAAAAATATATATATTTATTAACTAAGAAATCAGTGCAAAAAAATGATAATCAAATGAAAATATTTTGTCAGATGTATATGGCTATCAATTGCCTGCAGATGAATAGAAATTTATACTTTACCAAAAATGTTAGATCTTTTTGTCTGGGAGATTTCAGCTTTGTGTCAGTTCCCTTGGACAGCCCGTTAATCAGCTTCAGCTCTCCCCCTCTGGTGTGTATATAGATCCCCCGTATGAAGAAGAAACTCGTATAAACAATAATCCAGTATGAAGAAGAAGAAGAATTCAGTGTCAAGAAGAAGAATCATCCGACCCCCGAAGAATAATAATAATCCCGTATATTCTTCTCCTAACTTTTTATCACCCAAAAATGTGGGCTTGGTTTGCTTATCTTTTACTTTTAATTATGATGCCATAGGGGCGTGACTTTCTAACACGATCCCTGTGACTACCGCAAGAGGGCAATGTTGGATTAGAAATCACTCTTGGACCTTTCTTTTAAACTTCAACATAAGATTGAAAAGCAATTTGCTGACACATTGGTTACCCTAAAATTCTTCACTGCTATAACATTATACCCAACCTAATTTGTACTTAAACCATAAACACATCAAATTGATTATATATGCTACAATGTTTCAATAAGTATAACCACACAATATATATAATTAATATAGGTTGAATATTATAAGTATATATATTAAAAAAAAAATCAGTATACCATTAAGTATGTTAATGGATCATGCCATACTAATAATACAATTGAAATTATTGCTAATATGGTTAGTTCAAGAATAATTGTATCTAAGACAACTTTATAACGTGCTCGTTATTTTTCTTTTTCTCATTCATGAAAAGAAATGAATCAAAGACTTTGTTGTCCATTGTTAGACAATATGTGTGATTCTAACACATCTTATTCTTCTCCTAACTTTTTATCACCCAAAAATGTGGGCTTGGTTTGCTTATCTTTTACTTTTAATTATGATGCCATAGGGGCGTGACTTTCTAACACGATCCCTGTGACTACCGCAAGAGGGCAATGTTGGATTAGAAATCACTCTTGGACCTTTCTTTTAAACTTCAACATAAGATTGAAAAGCAATTTGCTGACACATTGGTTACCCTAAAATTCTTCACTGCTATAACATTATACCCAACCTAATTTGTACTTAAACCATAAACACATCAAATTGATTATATATGCTACAATGTTTCAATAAGTATAACCACACAATATATATAATTAATATAGGTTGAATATTATAAGTATATATATTAAAAAAAAAATCAGTATACCATTAAGTATGTTAATGGATCATGCCATACTAATAATACAATTGAAATTATTGCTAATATGGTTAGTTCAAGAATAATTGTATCTAAGACAACTTTATAACGTGCTCGTTATTTTTCTTTTTCTCATTCATGAAAAGAAACATTTCTGAAAGTTTTTGTCCGGAACTCATAACTTAAGTTCCATTTAGATCTGTTAGTAGTACAAAATGGCTTTCAGGATGCCATCTTATAATGTGTAGAAAAACATGTATAGGCCTTATTGTCCAATTCTTTTAGTCTCAATAGTTCTGACAGGGCTTTTAATTTGTAAAGAAAAATCAATAGACCTCAATTGTGTAATAATAACCATAAACGTTACATTTTCTTTGTGTTTGGTTATTGAGTTTCACTTGATATTAGTAGCAGGCAACAGTGTTTTAAACATGGAGACAGACATATCGCATATGGCATGAGCAAGGTAAAAAGATGGTAGAGAGATTCCATACTGGATAGTTTTACCGACAGACTAAATGTAACTGCAGCATGTTGTATTTGTGTGGCAACAAGTATCGGCGTTTTTAGATATTTAGCTATACCCACCGTCTCAGCAGATGGTCCCATTGCCACTTGCATGTGTAGGTATTGTTGAGGCCAATAAAGTCGAAGAGGGAACTGGGTGACTGGTATAGAATAAGTCTCGTCTTGTATAGATGTATGAAATGTTTAGCTTTTCCTTCTCGTCACCTGATTGGAGGAAAACTGGAAGGTGATTGGCTGCTAGGAAGTGTGCTAGGTGTATATCTTTCATATAATTTACAAATGGAGATCATTAATATTGGATTTGGACAGCTCCAAATAGTAACAAGTAAAAATAAAGTGTCCTGGCAGTCAAGAATGTTATCTCTGCGCACATTCATCAGGGCAGCCCTCTACATTGCTTAACTAATTGAATAAAATATAGATGGATAGACATTGCAGTTGTGTGTTCAACTACCAACCAAATCAAGCTGGTAGCTGTTCAACTACCAACCAACCAAATCAAGCTGATCTCATTCTACATTAGCTTCAGACTATAAGTGTTTAGACTTAAACTTTGTGTTCTATTTGAAACCTACACTAAGGCATTCGGTAATCCACAACAAACATCGCTCAAATTCCAGGACTGGCTCGCACTGTGATTGCATCCCAGGTGCAGGCAAACAAGCAGCCAAATCCTGAAATAGCCACACCAAGGGTCTTCACCGAAGACAATAAAAATCTGTTTATGGGGCAAATACACACTGTTCTTTCCCACGCATGTTCAACCCACTAATGCGTTTCACCATTCCGGCTTACTCATAGAGACACTAAGGCCTCATTCACATGAGGCTCTAAAGTCCAGCCATGCATTTGTGTGGAGAGAATATGCAGATTTCCAATCACTCCAAAATTCATATGTTCTGTAAATCCTCAAGGTCAGCTCTCTTAATCTTCTATAGTCTTTACCTTATTTATCCCCAACCTTTCAAACAGGAACCAAGTATCAAACAGGAACCAAACAGGAACTAAGTATCATTTTTAAAGATGTTGCTATTCTCAAAATTTGAAAAGCGGTCCTCCCTTAATAGAAAGCATTAATATTTCCCTATCCCACTGCTTAATGTTGCAGACTGAGGCTTGTTGTAGGATGTGTGGTTCCGACTGTCAGTTCCTGTATCCTGTAATGTTGTAGAGTCTGGCAGAGAAAACCACAGAGCACAGCAGGGAAATCCAAGCCAGAGCAATCTGGCAGCACAGGCAGTGGGAGAGGTCAGTATTAACTGATTGATTTATGACATATGAAATGATATGTCCAATATGAAATTGAAACAATGGGTAAATGGAAAAGCCTTCCGCACACCTTACAGCAGTCCAGGTCTATATAGAATGTGGTGCTCGCAATGACAATCACGGATGGCGCCGTGCAGACACAGAGTATAGATACAAATCGCCAGCACTCAAAGATATCATCAAACGCCCATTTAATTGGACATAAATGTCACAGTAACAGCAAGCCAACATTTCGGAACCCACACAGGGTTCCTTCCTCAGGGGAGAAAAACGTGTCAGGGGAGAAATTGAGTCGCCATGTGCTTGACATCACAGGTCCTCTTTGACATGATCTTCCTATGCTGGGTTCTGAATGCTGCAGAGCAGAGTGGCGCCAAGTAATGACCTGGCGCCTCTTCTGTTGAATTACATGGAAGTCCGTTAGACGACACGGACTGTTATTCAACCTGAAAGAGCTCCAGTACTGGATGGCAGAGTGGTAACTCTGTATGGGACAGAGAAGGTGAATATTGGAGACGGGACTGTTTAATATACTGCTGAGCAATAAATATTTACACTGAAATCTGCTTCAAAAGAGAACTATGGGGTAAGTGTTTTTTCCCATAGTTCTCTGTAGGGTCATGGGAGGGCATATACTAACCTCCTCCCATGACCCAAAGCTCAGTATATAGCGGGCTATTGCCTGCAATATACTAAGAGCGCCGCAGCCGGGACGGATCCCGACAATACTGTCTGGATCCACCCAGCTGCGTGAGAGGCAGAGCCAGCTGTGCCCGCCCCCTCTCCCGTCCCTTCCTCCACTCAGCACTGGAGGAACGGAGAGGGGAGGGGGAATCCCTGCGGGGAGCAATGACTGACCATCACCGCTCACTGCAGGGAGACGATCGGGAAGTGAGCGGATCGGTGCATGTTTTTGCTCACTTCCTCATCAGTAGAGCCGACCTCTGACCGCTTCCTTGTCACAGGTCGGCTCTAACTATGAGGATGACTGGAAATCACTTTAGGCAAATAAACTAAGAATGTTTTTTTCATATATTGTTGACCACCTGTGTATCTGTGACATTGTATTGCGTATCACCTAAATAGAAAAACGATTACTTTCAAGTTGTAATTTGTAACATTTTTCAAAACTTTAATATAAAAAGGTAAATCAATGGGTACACAAGACAAACTCTTTGCTGAGAAAAAGGAACAATGTCTTCAGACCAGTTATATTCAGTTCAATAATTTAATAAACTTTATTGAGGTCATTTTTGTGTTCTGCAGATGCTAAGATAGGGCAGTCCACTACTGTGACTGCGTGGAGTGGGGAAGGAATGTCTGTGATTACATGTTCTTTCCCAGTGTAACCGACACCTTTCCATCCCTAAGGATGTATAGATTGTATATTATCAAAGATGAAAGCTCATTGCAGCAAAGCTGAGGATGCCTGCAATGTTATTCAATACACAAACTGTATACAGAAAGTGCCTAGAATTGATTGGAAAGAAACCTTTTTAGCTACTTTATACAGAAAATGAGCTGGTAGAAGACTGAATTGGAAAGGTGATTTTTAATAAAATTCACAAAATGCAATTTCTAGCAATTATATATA